TAAAAAAAACTGTATTTTTTTATTTTTTAATTAATAAGTTAATTTAAACCATCGCATGTGCGATGAATTAATAAGAATTTTGGTTTAACATAAATTTCTAAATCTGAAAGCTCGAAATCTCTTTAGGGATTCCAGTGTTATGAGGCTTAATGGATTGAAATTCTTGAAGTTTACCTGTAAGGCTCAACTGGGAAATGGTCTAAGACTTCTTGATCTATGGAAGTAATGGTGCTGCACGTTCAAATTTGAGCAAAAACAAAAGTAGCAATATTAAATACTATATTTTAACTAATCAATTATAATTATTAATAATTAACTCTGAAATATTGAGAATCATTAGTTCGGCTGCTGTCTCCCGACAGAGAACTTGTCAATCCAAGCACTGCGTGCGATCCAATTTACAATATCAATTCATTGGCCCTAATATTGGTCGTATAGGTTATTTAGCAATTATTATTTATTTTTTTATTTTGCTTATTCTCACATTGTGAATTTTTATTGGTCTTTACCTTGCTTTGTGTGCCTTGCTTGCTAGGTCCTTCTTCTACGTGAATTAGATTTGTATATATGTATATATATTTCCATATGTTACATGGGATTGGAACAAAAAACGGGCAGTTGCTCTATAAACACGTTTCGAATGGATTGATGCAATGCTACTTGTCTTTAAGTTCCGTCTAAAAACTCCTTTCATTTCAGCATTCAGTTATTATAAAACTTGCTTTTGCATCTATCGATATATTGAAACTTCAAATAATGGCAATTCAGATTAAATACTAGACAACGATTTCTGTCTTAACAAAGGCCCTTTTTCGTTCAATTTTTTTTGATTGGATGATTTCGCTTAATCGGATTTAGATTGTACTTTATTCCCAGCAGTAGTTGAAGCTAATGATAATTTATTCGAATCGAGTATATTGCAGTCGGGAGAATCGCTTCTGTCCCCAAGTGGCTGTGCTTCATAATACGCGTAGAAAATAAAAGGGGAACTAGGAACAGTGAGAGCTAACCACCTATTTAGTGCGGCAATGGTTGTGAGAATATCCTGTTGAGAGGCAAGAGTTCGGGTTCTACGCAGGTAAACCATTCATTAAAGATGCGGTGTGGTTAACCTAGCCAGAAATAGTAAGCACTAACCATTTACTTTTATTTATTTGTTCACTCGGCTTCGGTCTCTTCCAGTATCTTTTCGGTGCAATAGCAAGTTTTTTCATTTTCTTCACCTCTGAATTCATAAAGTTATTACGATTGAAATTTTTTTAACGATTCAGTTTTGAATCTTCTTTTTAAGCTTTACGAATGTAGAGGAAATGAACATAAATTGTTTTTGCGAATTCACCCACTTAATTCCTCGTAAATCCAATTTTTCCTTCAAATTGTCTTCAATTTTTCTCTTAATTGTGATAAAAAAATGTTTAAAAAATATAGCTTTAATCTTAAAAACTTTATTTTGCATACTTTTTATAATTTACGATTTTTATAATTAATGATTTTTTATACAAATTAATTGTCTTTTTTATTATTTGTGGCTTGTTTGTTATAACTCTCTTTGTTACATGTTTCAAAGCTAAGCTTAGATCTTAAATTAGAAATTACCTGATATGTTTGTAAGGAGAAGTAATATCATGGAGCCATATAATCAATAATTCTCTATTGGAAAATCAGTGCTACGTAGATTATTGACTTAAACCTGGGATTCGGTTCTCGAGGGAACTGTGAGTGTATCTCTAAAGGGAACTCTGAAGGTCAATAAGGCATCGATGGAAAAAATAAATATTCGTACTTTTTTTTGAAACTCTACATAAATTTCGATTTATACAGTAAAAATTAGTAAAGAAATTCACCCATTTGTAAATAAATATTTTGACTTTTCTCACTTCCTACCTTGTTGAAACTGATATTTAGCCAGCCACGTAATAAGGGAAGTATTTATAAGGAAAGGAGTTGATTAAATATATCCGAAAATGGCGATTTAACAAATGGATAGAACAACTTTAAAAAATTTTGCTGCAATATTGCTGCACATTCTTTACTTTTGTGCTATAAATATATATAAATAAATAAATATATAAATAAGTTTTAGTGCTTTAATATAGCCCTAATTTATGTTTTCTGTATTTTTTCTATATTCTTGCAATTTCCTTACGAAAAATGCTTTATAATACGCTTATTGTGCTAAATAAAGTCTTCAACGAGGTGGGGGTGAGCACCTAAAAATTTTTTTTGAACCGCGCGATTTTTTAATATTTCATTCATTTATCATTTTGGCAACTTCATTTTTTCATTAATTCATAATAGGCGAAATCTTTAATAGCCAAATTCTAAGGGGGTCGATGGAAAGAAATTCCACATAGCCGATAGATGGACAGATAAAAAATGTTCTTTCGTGGGGAATTGGTGGAAATATCTTTTTTATAGAGGGTCGATGCAAGAAAGAGGTTGGAAGACTCTGATTTAAACTGATTGAATCTGCTCTTGTTCTCTGATAATACTGCAGATAAAATCGAGTGGTAAACCACTAATTTCTTATTTCATTTACTTTCGATAATATTGTTGAATTACCATCATTTATTTACTATCAGTTCACTTTCTAAGGAATCGTTATAAGGAATCGTCGTTCAAATCTTCAAGTTTGCATTGGGTAAATAGCTGTTATACTTCTACATATCGCATTTTATCTCTCTGATTATCGAAATCTTTTTGTTGACAATATTTAAAATTATGAATTGTGCTTGCTTGTGAAATGTGCTTTTTCTCTATGTGACCCATCATTTGGATTTTTAAAATCTTTTGTCTTATAAATCTTATAAATTTATAAATTTTAAATCTTATAAATTTACAAAATTTTGAATGGCAAATTGCAAAATATTTTGTATAATTTTAAGCGAAATAATAAATCTATAATTTAAAAAAGCGTTTATCATTATTAATTAATTTTCTTGCTTAAAACTTTATTTTTAATAATTGAAGTGAATTAAAATTCACTTCATTAAAAAATTCTTCTTCTATTCTAAAAATTCTTCAAAAATTCTTTTATAGATTTTGAGAATTTGAGAATTTATTAAAATTAAGATTATGATTAAACGAACATTTAATCACTTCATTGAATTTGTTTTATCTTTTTTTTAAATATTTTTTAAAAAATAAAATATTTCATAGATATTTGGAACCACGGAATGAAACTTTAAATTTCCTATTAACATTCAATTATTTTATTAATCAATCACACTTGTTTTTGCCAGTTTTTTGGATTTTTTTTAAGTTACGATGAAATGAAAAGGAAACTGAAATCTGAGATAAAATCATTTGAGATGAATGAACTTTTAATCGTTTGATCAGTTTATTTTTTTGTTCTTCAATATTATTTATAAACGAAAATAAAATTTGGTTTTAATTATTTAAATCAGAATTTATATTTAAAAAAATTTTTATCGTTAAATATTTTAAAAGCTCATTTTTTTATTCCAATAAATTACTTGAATTTCCTAAAATTTGAGATTTAATTTCTTCTTATTGCAGCGATTCTCAGTTTTTACTTCTTTCCGTTTAATTCAATTTCAATAAATTATATAAAGAAATTTTTGCAAACTTTGCAACTATAATTTTGTAACATTTATTCACAAAGCAAACATTTATTTAAAATTTTCTTTTTATATTCTTTTTTATTTTTATTTGGTGAATTTTTATTTGTCAAATGCAATTTTTGTCGATTTAAAAATGATAGAAATGATTTCAAAATTATAAAATATAAATGAGAAATGAGAAATTTTCACAAAAATTCCGGTAAGGTGTAATTATTATTTTACGCTTTATTAAACATTCATTTAGCAGCAGTGAAGCTAATTCATTGCTTTCGCGATGATTTAAAATTCTTATAATGGAAAATTATTTTCATGAATATTTCGCGTAACAATTCTCTTAAGCACTATGGTTCTTTGAGGAGAAATTTGACTGCCGGAAATGGGGGTACAGTTGACTTCCTAGATTTCACTTTTAATGACAGTTTTACAAATTGAAAGCGTGTTCGGCTTCAGCCGTAGCACCCGCCATTCTTCGCTCAGTTTTAATGATTATCAGCAAAAACAGCAATTTTTTAGGATATTATTATTTCTTTTAATTTAATTATTTAGTTTCATTCACAAAATTTTTTTTTTTTAAAAGCAAAGCTTTTTCCATGGCTGTTGATAGAAATAGCAATCATAAATAAACGACTAATGTACTAAAATTACTTTTATTTAAGTAAATGCAATGAGAAACCATTTAACGTTTTTTTGGATCATCTCGGAAAATTTTTTAAAACCATTATTATTATAAATATTTTCAAAACCTGTAATAATGGTTAGAGAAAAAATTTTACAGAAACGTTAAACAATGGATAATAACGAACTTTAATAAGTGATTTGTTTGTTAAATAATTCCTTCATTGCATGAATTTGTTCATTTGCTGTTTAAAATTAATTGTTTTTCCGCGGAATCATAATTAAAATTCAAAATGCTACAAACAGTTTTTGGTAATGTATAAGAAAATAGAAGAAAAGAGGAAGAAGAGAAAATAAACGATGGTTGACTAGTGTAGCGATCTTGCGGAGATAACTGCCACGAGTTTCCTGTTTATCCCTCAAAAGAAGCAAAAAGTGTGAAATCAAGATGGCCACTGGTGATATATCTCCATTCCTAAATAATTTTCTAACGAAATGGTCTCAACCGCATAAGTAAAATAAGCCGCCAAACCATAAATGGTGTTTGCTGGGAAAAAAGAATGAGGGTAGTTCAAGATTATTGGATTGAAGGAACATGAAAAACATCGAAAATAAAGCCCTCAGTCGTATTCTCACTGCACTGTTGTTTTGCTTTTTATTTCTACATTTGTGACCGATTATCATTTCTACTTTCCGTTATTTTCTATAAAAATATTGTAGATTATCTATAATATTGTAGATTATAAAATGCCAAACTCTGCGACATTAACAGTATTTTTCTTCTCCTTAACTTATTACTCCATGACTTTATGTAATGCTGCTCCAGCTGTTTGTCGAACATGCGCGAATGGATGTAACGATACCGAGTAAGTTATGAGTTATATAATTAACAAAATCCCATCCTTATTATTCAAAGAAATAACTCGCCGACAAGCAGATTTCTTTATTCTGCTTATTTGCTTCCTGAATCCCTTCCATTTCTGATATATAATGCTGAAATCCATAAATAAAAAATTTTGGGATCGTACCAACGATTCATAAATAAATATAATTTTAATATTATTTTTCCTTTTAACTGATCAAATCTTTCATAGTTCAGTTTTTTAATGAAATGTAAGGGCGAAGTATTTTTATGTTTACAAACTCTTCCTTTATCATAATTTCTATTTTATTAATTTTTTAAAATTTTCCACTTTCAATCGTAAAAATTTTCAAGGTCATATTACAAAAAAATTATTAAATCATTGTGCAGATTGTGTAACGCGCCAATATTTCTGTAAATTGAATTCGGAATCTTAAAAAAAATTCTTCTGCAAAAATAAATAATTTTATGAGGAAATTGAAATTGGAAAAAAATTTTATAGAGAAATATCTTCTTAAATTTAAAGTTTTAGCGCAGATTATCTAATTAACAACGAGTCGAATAATATAAGTCGAGTGAAACGAGAATCTTCTGTCGAACAACATCTTTGTAAACCGTTCCAACTTGAAATTGTAAGCCAGTGATTGTACTTGGTTTTCAGTCCTGAAATTTTATTTAATTCTTGAACTCTAATTTTAATAGAGGAAAATTTTTGTCATCGCTAAAGGCTAAAAAATAAAACCTGAGGAAAGAAACTGGTACTTTCTCCTTCCGATTTCTTAATATTCACTATTTCTATGCAGAAATTATTCTATAGGTCAAGTTAATTTAACTACTTTTCACAGATTTTAATTCCGTTATCAATTGCGATGATCCCAGTGGCGCTATGCACATTGCTTCTTTGTACTTGCTTTTGTGGACCAAAAGAGTCCAGAGGTAACTGAGTTCATTCTTCAGATTTTTTTTTACCAATTTTATCAGGGAACAGTAAATGGTTATCACTAGAAAATTAAGTGAACAAGATACAATTGATAACGATAATACAATCAAGTTTTTGCAGTTAAGATTGAGTAGAATTTTTCAAATAAAATCCTTCTCTCACTGATAAATTAATTCCTTCAAAATGACCAACTTTCCAAACATTTTTTTAAATTTTCGTCCTCATCGGAGAAATTTAAAGAAAAGAAGGTTTGAATGAGTGTTAATCAAACAATTCGTATTTATTAAAAAATAAGCTTTCGTTATTTTGAGCAAAATTTTTATTTATAAAAACTGTGAACTATTATGATTATTTCTTTCTGGAACGAAAAGGGTTTTTCAAATTGATATAATGCAGAAAAAAATGCAAATATCCCTAAGTTTTTTATTATTATGTTTGTTTTTTATTATTATCATGCCGAATCTTTATCAAAAATAAATAGAAGAAGCTTAAATACGCTGCCGCCCACCATTTATTTAGGTTCGACCATCTCCCCTGACTGTTAGCACGGAAATTTTACCAGAGAGTCACTACCCGATTTTTTAAATAGCAGATTTACTCCTATTAGATTCAGAGAATCGAACCTCTGGTGCTGGACTGCGCCACTCAGTTATTCCTGCACCTATGTCAAGTTTGATCACTACAAGTTCAAATTTTTCTTAAAGAGTCATTTGGGATTATAGGCCAATAGAACCTTTGTTTAACAAGACTATAACTAGGAAAACCATTCTATATTTTTATTAAAACCATTTTATGCTCTATTCGTCCGTATCTGGTCTATAGCTGTTCCTTGCTTGGAATAGATGAATTGCTTATTGTTCACCCATAATTTTCGATAATTATTTCGAAATCTTTAGGAAAACTACCAAAACGACTAACAAAAGAAAATCGTAAAGGCGATAGGGAAGAAATTGACGATATGGAGCTTACTTGTAGAGACGGCGTAATAATGCGAAAAGACAGCAGTCGAACTCGCTTTAGTACAGCGATTTCATTTATCGAAGCCCATTGCATTAGTACCGATATTGTTGGCCAGCAGTCGGAAAACTCTGTTTCTATGCAACCGTTTGGATGTACGATGTCGGTATCTGAGGCCATTGAAATTAATGCTGCTATAAATAATCGAAATAATCCTTCTTCTAATGATGCTCCACATGGTGGTAAGATTTCATCATATTGGCTCAACATTATTATTATAGTCATTTAATTATTGCTAATTTGTTAATTATGGCTAATGAATTGCCAATTTCCGTGCATTTTCCTAATATTGACGATGGTATCAATCACTGAACCTTCATCAGAACTATGGATCTTTGTTAGTATGGTGAAGTTTATAGACTTCTTGCTGATTTTCTTTAAAATGTAAGCATATTAGATAGAAAAGTTTAAATAATATCATGCGAAGAAATCTGCGATTTGAATTACTGTCATATGCATCTGTGATTTGTTGCTCGCATTAATAACAAATAACATTAATAAGAAGAGCTAAAAAGCCATTAGTTTTTCACAAGAATAAAGAATTTTCCATTCAGTTTCACGAACCGCTAGGAATCTTACGGACTCAGGCTATTGACCCATAATTTAACGAACCCATCTCCTCATCCCTTGTTTATAGATCCAATTTTTAAACCATATTTAGATTCAACTATTTTTTAAATTAATACATTGTATTTCGTTTCATTTCATATTGTATAACGCTTTATAAGACAGATTTTTTTTTTAAAATCCTCATCATTTGGTTAAACTCGCTCCACTGGCTTGTCGAACTGGGCAAATATGCCAAGCAATCTCTTTGCGATAGAAGCACAGATAAGCCTGAGCCGCATCACTCGGATTTTTGGACAGGTTTACTGCTTCAGGGAATAGCACCTCAGCATCCGAATTGAGCAACAACCCAGTGATCCATTCTATCCCTGTGTAAGACAGATTAAAATGTTTTTTATTGCAGCTGAGGAAAATCCGCATGAAAATCTACCTCGAAAGACAAGCCTGAAGAGAATTCGATTTGCAGATATTCCTGATATTACGGTGAAGGATACACAATGATATTTATTCTACAATTTAATTAAAATTATTTATTTAGTCTAGTAATAGTAATAATCAATTTTATTACTATTAACGATAATCAAAGTTTGATGCCGATATCATTATCATCAACATAATTCCTATTTTGGCAATTATCAGTAGTAGTCAGTCGGACCTAATTAATTAATTTATAGCACTGCCTAATTTTTTTAGGTATCATTTTGTACCGATTGGGTCATTTAAAACCCTCATTGTTTTATTGTTTCTTCGTAACAATTGCATCCATTTTTTTTCGAGTTTAAGTTAAACGGGTTTTTTAGTTTTAAAATATTTCCGGCGTCTTCGTAAGTTTCTTATTTTTATTTCAAGATTTTAGAAAAAAATTATGAATTATTTTTAAAGCAAAATTTTTGAAAACTGGAAAATTTTTTAAAAACCATTCCCGCATCAACTTAAAATTTAGCGACAAATACTGGCTTTTTTATATTTAATATTCATTTTAGTGTCTCAGTCTTTAAGAGATTTCAACTAATTGGCGATCTATTTTAAGCCGTTTGTTATCGACTATTAACTAATATTGAAAATAACACTTGAAAAATTTTTTTATCATAGAAAATTTATAAGATCACTAAAAATATTATCTACTAGGTTGATAACAAACCGAACAATCTTTGAGTTAATCCACGCTAAATTTGCAAAGAATTAATTATTATGTTATAAAACAAATGTAAGCGCAGATCCAAATTTTGCTTTAATTCCAGTGGTATGGTTTTGTATGGCCTTGCAAATATTAAATAACGAAGTATGACGAAAAAAAATCCATGTGTGAATGTTATTCCATAAAAGAACCACGTATCTCAAATGAATTTGGATCACGTATTTAAGGCCATGGAATATACCATTTTTAGGAAAATAAACCCAAGGCAAAAAAGATGCCTAGGAAAAACCATCAAAGCCACGAAGTAACAAGTCTCGACAACTCGAATACCGAGAATCATAATAGCATCGTATCAGTTTTAATTAATAAACTTTCTTGTTGATAATGTAAATAAATTTTGTGATCGCATAAAGATGGTCTATATCATTACACCTTTCTTTGCAAAGGAAAAAGAATTTGTAAGAATTTCACCAACTTGTCAGCCCAAGCCTATCTGTAAAGACTGGAATATGTCCGAGCTGTAGCTGTCTATTCCTCTACAACTCCTCCAGATATTCCACAGCATACTTTGGAGAATCACAACAGATGCTAGATCACATGTCGACAATTGCGGTGAAAATGCCGCCCCAAATCAAAAACAAAGCGTAAAATATATTCCCTCATCTTATGAATTAGACAGTAACGAAATATCTATTCATAAAAGCATCGACAACTGAAACCGTACCAATCCTTAAGCACTTTGGACCCACTCTTATCCCTTATAACCAAGCAGCAGAACTTGCACCCCGAATAGCTATATCCAAAAGCGTTTTCTTAAACCAAATTTAATCTCTATGGGACTGCAGAGAAATTAACTTCAAAATTGGTAGCTTTTGATTCGTTTTCAAGAGAAAAGATATCAAGAATATTTATTTTTTACCATTCTTGCTTAAAATGCTTCCTATATAAAGTGAATTCCACGTTATTGCATCTATTTTCGTTTGAATGCTATCTGCACTGGCATGATCGTCCCACACACTGTCCATGTTCTTAGCCAACCATAACAAGAAATGACATATGTATTACTAAATATCAACAGATTACAACAAAGTGAGTTAAAAACGCGAAAGTATAACCGAAACTTGAATGGACGCAGTTAAAAGAAAGCATGAACAAGCATATGGGGTTTAGACGGTGAGAAAAAGGATTCGCTTATTTTCACATACGGCTTCCGATGGCTTCTTATCTTCACAGTCAGTATAATCAATGACTGTGAGGTTTCAGAATGGATATAAGCGGATAATATGAGGCGGTAAAGATTTACGGTTCTTAATTCTCTCAAAATAAAGGCTATATTGTACCTCTTACTTATGGGGTATTCTACTATTATTCTGTTACTATTACTATTATACTATTATTATTCGGTAAAATGCATATACTACATTCAGTCGCGAATGACGAAAAAAGCTGCAAATATGATCACGTCAAACGCATCGCACCTGCTAGCCCAATAAAAGAATTAATGAAATAAGGGAGAAAAGAGTTGGAGAAGATATTAGAAAATATCACAGAATAATAGTAGAGTACCCCATAAGTGAGAGGTACAATATAGCCTTTATTTTGAGAGAATTAAGAACCATAAATCTTCTCTTCTCCCATCTCAAATCAAATATAAGCTCCCAAAAGATCATTTTTGGCTATTTTAAGTTCTGTTGGGAATAGAAGTGGGGAGCGACGGGTGAACTGGGCTTTCATTTATTTTTATATTCGGTTTTACTTACTTGTATTATATTAATTTTCTTTGTAATAGGACAACAATTTCGTTTTGCTTTCTTTGTGTATATTTGCACTGCTATTAATAAAGGTTTAATTACCTAAGTTTGAGGGTTCGCAACGAGATAATTAAGAAGAGAACGTTGGCCGCGGAGTTTAGAATATTGTTGAGAAACAAAATTCCCGCGTGACAGGAAATTTATTGAATCGATACAGAAAAACACAGTGGAGCGGATTCTCGAAGAATATTTGTAAAGGTAGATATTTGAAGTGGGAATCGCCGTGCTCCCACCAAAAATTCTCTTGTTTTCTGTACACATACCTTTTATGAGAATTTATTACAGATACTATACAAATCCTTACTGGATAAACTGGACTATCTGGACTATCAACATCGCCTTCATACAAACAACAAATTTGGCAAAATGGCACGGCTCCAATGTATTTGAATTTTCTATAGAAAAATAAGATAAGTGTAACATAAGCCGCCGAGAAATAAACGAGAAGATCAAGCAAATATATTCGACTTTTTATGCAACAAAATAATATTTCCAACAAAAAAATTTTTCTTATTTCCCACAATTTTTTGCAATTTTTGTGGCAAAACAACCAATTAAATAAAAAAAATGAAAAATAAAACCATAGGAAATTAACAAGCGAGCACTAATATATAAAACATCAACGCTTATATTACATTAATTATCAATCAAAACTAAGTGAATGAACGAGAATATATCGTTATAAGATGCAAAGAAGATAGAGGCTATTCTAATTATTGGCTAAGAATCGTATAAGCGACATAAGCAGCTCTCAACTTTTTTTGCTCTGCGCACTCTTTTCACCATACAACTAAGTAAAATTCTCGCTTTTAGTATAGTATCAGTCATTTAAAGTTATTAGTAAAATGCCCAAAAGAACAAGCAAAAAATTCAGTGGAGCATGAAATGTACAACGTTTTATTCTGACGAATATCATTGGTTTTTTTCGCCAATTCTTTAATGTAAGATGTGCATGAAAACAACAATTCAAAACTATTTAGAGGCCTTCACGTGTTTTTTCACTAGCAGCTTACTAGAGCTCTTTAATCCATAGAAATCTCAAGATATTCCCTTTAAGGATTGCAAAATCTGTTGAGAACCTCTGGTATAGCGCTATTAAAAGCGATTTTTCTCAAAGGACACGCAATTTATACACGCAATTTTCTCAAAGGACACGTAATATTTATATCTTTTTTATGTCTTTTGCTCGATCTGCAATAATAGTAATCTATAATACTCAGTAATTACTCAGCGATTCTTTATAAATTTTTTGGTTGAAAAATTGCTGAGCACCAAAAAAGCGAAAGAATTATCTTCATTTGAGGAAAGTATGGAATGTAATAATAAAAAATAAAAAAATAATAATAATAAACTGATATCCTTCGAGAAAAAGATAAAATAAAGTGAAATTATTAAGTACTTGAGCCTAATATCGAACAGTTCAATTATTAAGTACTTGAGCCTAATATCGAACAGTTCTACAGTTCTATTATTAAAAATTTTTAATAATTAAAATAATAATTTATTGCTAATAATAACAATATATAAACATAAAAAATGCAGCACATTAGCCTTAAACGACAAACTACGGTTTGTTTACTGAGAAGTCATTATTCTTAGGAAACTGAAGTAGCAGTTTACTAATACATTATTTCTACTAATCAAGCAATTAGCAAAGATTTTTAAATAGATATAAACATAAATATTCATTTTAAATATTCATGGAAAAATTAAAGTCTGTAATTTTTACGGCAATCCATAGAATAAGGTTCCTGTTTTGGTTGTTGTGGTAAAATTCGTCGCTCTGAAGTGTGACGCCGCACACCGCTATGTGTCTGATCATGCCAATGATCGTTACGAAATTCATCGCGAAAATTTGACTGGAATGGTCCCATTTTCCTATCATTAAAAACAGGTGAATGACGTGAATCTCGATTTACGTCCGAAATGCGATCCAATCTATTTTGCAGTTCAGACACACTTCGCCTAAAAAGTAATGTTCAGAAAATCCTATATAATGAAGAATTTTAAATACTTTGCACCCTTATGTAGAAAATACTTTGACAAAATACGAAATTACAATCGCAGCACGATATTAACTTACCCCGTTAAGAGGTGTGGAATATTACGAGGTGCTTGACGCTTAGAAATTTCAGTGTTTCCATCATCAACGTCAACGTACGTCACATTATTAGGTAACTGGATAATGCGAGTTTCAATCTTAAAAAAATTATTTTGATTTAATAAAAGAGCATAAGAAAAAATCCAACAGCAAATAAATTGACCTCTGTGACCGACTGATGTTGTCGAGCCTCGAATAGCGTTGGACTGTCGTTTCCTTGTCGACATCGCCGTTCCACAAAGCGATTTTCCGTTTTGACACCATAGAGAAGTTGTTCTTTTTCTTTATCGAAATTCTCTCTTTCACTAATACGACTTCCACTATCCAGAGGTACAAATGTGTTCTCATGAGTAGATGGAAGCACAGAAAGCCGCTCAGACGTATTGGTATGATTCGAAGTACTTGAAACAAGTTCTATATTATTACTGAATTCTAATTTTAAATACAGATTAATCAACACACTAGAGAAAAATATTAACCTTAACAATAAATTTGAAGGATCCTGTGAAGATCTTGAAGATGGCAAACTAGTGAATGGGATGTGAGAATCAATTCCAAAATTATATGACTGACCAGAATTTTCTTTATGAGGATAACGGATTACTCGTAAAGATGGTGGCTGTGAAGTAGACATATGTTTCAAATGACTGTCTGGAATATCAGGATCATTGTAGTCGATAGGAGGCTCTTCAGGAGGACAACGTTTTGACATATGAAGTGAGGCGATTGATTCTATGTGGTCTTTTGCATGATGAGATTCAAAACCTATAAGCGACAATAAAATGCAAAATTAATATAAATTGTAATTTATTTGCTATTTGTATTAAAGAACAAAAAAGCTAAAGAGAACTAGGTTTAACAACCATAGATAAAATGAAAGTGGAAAGAAATTACTTTGTACATGTGGTGAAGAAGATTGCATAGTTTCCAATTCGCTTTTCTCTAAATCATTAAGCTCATTTTCCAGATTATTGAAAACTTTTCGCAAATGAATATTTCCATTATAAGATGATTTTATTGTTTGACTTGGCGGTGTAGGCTTAACCTGATATTCTTTTTTTTTTTCCGGTGTTTCAGAAGCGGTAACAAGATTCATATTATTTATTGGCGGATTGACAAAAGAACGCGCAACGTTTTCGGACTTATTCATGGGATAAGAAGGAGTGTTGTATTCAACAATTACTGCCACTGAATTAGTTACTGTACTGCTACAAGATGATGGTTGATTAATATTTGTAACAGATTTTGTGATCAAGGAAGGTGGAGTGGGAGGTGATGGTGATGGTGGCATTTTCTTGCGTCGAGAGACCGCTGGTGATCGACTTGCAAGAGCTGAAAAGGTATTCAACTATTCAACATCTGAAGAAAGAAAGAAAGAAAAATTCCAGTGCATTTTTTTCTAAGAGCATTCACTATTCTTTGATTAAACATTGTATTGGCCTATCGAACCAGATAAATTTTGCTAATGAGTTAATTAGCAGCAGCAGAATTACAAATGAAACGCTAGGCATCACCCTGAATGTTCATTTACTTCCCCAAATCAGTCAAAAATATGCATCAGTTATAGCCATAGATTTTCAAACTTATGTATTGAATAAAATCCATATTCTTAATTGTCTCACATTTGAAGAAGCATCTTTATTTTGCTTCTTTTCAAACAAAGAAACATTCAGATGTTGAGCGAAAATTTCCTACCCTTTTAATAAGAATTTAAAACCATTTAAAATTTCATTTAAAATTTAAAACCACATTTAAAACCTACTGCAAATCAGGCTTTAATTTAATGTCCATTGCTTTATATTTATTCATAAATAGGCAAAGGGATGAAATCAAAACCTACAGTTCGCGCGCGAATAACGACTTTGTATTTCTGCTATATCCATACGAATATCAACCATTGATCTGCTTAATACAGGACCGAAAGGTTTACTTGGCATCTCTGATGATGGATTGATTTTGGCTGATAACGAGAGCACTATCTTATCATTCTATAAATAAAAAGAATAAATAATTACAAGAAAACGATTTGATATCATCAAATAGATCTTTATATTCGACAGTACATGCCAAAATTTTGGCATATACTGTGTGGACTGAGAGCAGGCAACGTGGGTACGATTCTTTTTTCTTCATAAAAGAGAGATTCTCAAATTCTTCAATTTTAAATGTTTCGAAAAATTTCGAAAATTAGTCAAATAAGCATAATATCAATCATATTATAAAAACAAAATCCTCAAAGAAATTGCTGAAGCATATACATTTAACTTTCGAAAACATTCATTAAGTGAAAGCATAGTTTCTTCATCCGTGAAGCCAAAATCTTGAGCAATTGTTGTTTGAATATATTCCATGAAATTCTCCATTTGCAATCGTTTTACCTGTTCTTAAAATAAAAATAAACCAAAAGATGAATAATAATACAAAAAATATAAAAATATAATAAAAATATAAAATATAAAAAATACAAAAATATAATAAAAATATAAAATATAAAAAATATAAAAGTACGAAAGAAAATGTTCTCCCAGCTTAGCTCCGAATTTTTTAAAATACGTACGATCCAAAAAATCTCTTCTTCGATATGTAAAAACGATTTACTTCGATGCATTTTCATTATATTTAATGCCATCGCCAATAAAATCGAATCACCCTCTAATAAAAAAACATCCCATAGCCGTAATGCAAGTCGAAACGGAACTCGATCCAAAAAACAGCCGAACCACCATTTCGTTACGTAAATTGGTGGTATTCCAGCTTTATCCTATAAAACAATACTATTTAAAAAGCAAATATAAAGAAGGAAAAAAGGAATTTACAAGGAATTAAAAGTTCATAAAGGATCGAAGGGATTTTCCCAAGCTTTTCCAATTCTCTAATCGAAATAACTATAATAACAACAATTTTACAATTTAAAATGATTTAAAATTTATATTCAAACTCAAATTTCAAATTTATTTAATTAAAACTCAAATTTAATTCAAAATTTATTTGAATATATTGTTATCATATCTCATAAAACAATAAAATTTGTATTAATTGGATATACCAGATGCTTCTTCAAATTTGGCAAATATTTCTGAAGAATTTTTTCATACTGCATTTGAAATCGAGTTAATTTGGGAAAGCCAGGCACAAAAAAACCTTCAAATATTCATTCATAATAAATGAAAGTCAGAACTGTAATAAATTCTAAACAACGAATTTTCCTTACAAATAATCATCTTTTTTCAATCACTGACTCGAACAAAAAATTGGTTTTATCGAATATAATGGCGAAAAATTGAAAACTCTTACGCTAATGAATAAAATTCTAATTTTAATGACTCACCATGCATACAATACTTCTCGCCAACCATTAACGCATGCAATGACCAAAATGCATCTTCTTCATCCATATACATCAAAAATAACGCTGCTATTTGACTCATACCTTGACAATAGCCAACTTCGGTATTATACATCGCATACGCGGCAAGAACATTAAACAGAGATTGTTGCCTAAAAAATTAAATGATAAATGTGAAGGTCACAATTAAACAATCTGCAAATTCGATTCAAAGAATTTTGAATGATCTAATTTCGCTATAAAATCACAGCTTTTAAAGCTTAAATTAAAATTTCGTTATTTTGAGAGGAAAAAAGCATTCTTATATATCGATTTTTAGCATTTAAGAAACAACATTCCACCTATTAACAGAGTTTAACGCCTTCTTGCACAAGTCAACAGCAAGAAACAATTCGAACCTGCCCAAGGATCTATAGTCTAAATTAAACTATAAAAATGCCTAGAAATGATATATCCAATTGCAGAAACATGTTTCTTGAATGCAGATTCGAAGCTTTGTTTTTTTTTTTGCTTCTAAATGTAAAACTAAGAAAAAAATTGGACAGAATCTCTTATCTTACCGGTGCTCAATACTTACCGCACCATCCAACTTTTCAGTGTTTTCCATATTGCACAAAATTTAAAATAAAAACATACTTAACATCATATCGTCTTCGAAATGCCATATGATCACGATAAGTTCGATTAATATCCAAATCGATCTGCTTAACATCCTTCGAAACAAGTCGAGCACGCATTAATAATTCTTTATAAATGTTTCGATTTTCTGGTTGATATTTTGATATGCCCAACAAATGTGTCCACACCTTAAACAGCTCTTTTGAAACTAACTGATTATTTTTAGAAAAAATCCTAAATATAAAACTTGCATTAAATAAAGAGAAATTAAATTATTCTCTATTTAAAAATGGGTTTTTGACCTTAAAAAATTTCCGATAAATGCTCACATAAATTATTCAACTGGAAAAGCAATTATTAATATGTAAAGAAATTGAACAACAGTATATTTAAACTGAATTTTAAAAGAAATTTAGGCTTAAACTATTATTCGCCATATCATCCGCAGCTTTTTTTCAAGAAGAAAAGTATCATTCGATTAACTTCATTAGTTATTAGTGCTTTCCAAGAAATTCGACAAGTGAATTCTCCGATTTTTCCCACCCAAAAACTATCTTGATACAAATTAACCATTAAATCATTAAACAATAATTATGAATTCAAGTTTTACTCTCAGCCAAAAAAAAAAAATAATTCCAAGAGGAAACAATATATTTATATATATTTATAACTATTTATATAGCCATTTAACCAATTAGCTAGAATTATCTACAGGAATATCTACTCGGTATAAGGCTTAGACTATCCCAAGTGAGGAAATGAGAGATTTCTCAGAAAATCGAAGAGAATAAGATGAAGATCCTGTGGGACTTTCCCATCCAAACAGACAAACAAATATTGGCCAATCAACCAGATATCATGGTAATAGATAAGAATCGGAAATTAGTACTGGTGACAAATATATCAATACTAAGCAACAGGAACAGGAAGAAGAAATATGAGAAATACCAAGGGCTGAAAGAGGATCTAAGATATGGAAAATAAAGGCAAAGGTAACTCCAGTGATAATTGGAGCATTTGAAACTGTGACCCCTAAACTAGAAAAGTGGCTTCCGCAGATCAGAAATCTATCCAAGAGAGCGCTATTATTAGGAACAGGTAAGATATTGCGCAGAACCCTCAATTTCTCAGGCCACTAGTAAAGTATCTAATATATTTATTTATGTAAAACAAAATGTTTAATATATAAGAATAAGAAACTGATGCTTTGATTCTGATGCGTAAGAGAGCTAAACAACTAAACAAAATCTGTTTTAAAATAGGCATATATTTTCCAGACGTTTGAGACTCATCGCACGATTTAGCAAAAAAATTAAAATTGATGATTTGATTACAAGCAAAAATTTTTATATCTACAATTCCAAAATAGTTCCAAAAATCAATTGGGATTTTATTTAAATTAATTAAATTAACATGCCAATTAACAAATTTATCAATCAACTGATATACGAATAGATGAATGAAATTTAATAAATCTAAATAAAACGATCAAATATATTATCCAATATTCTTCAAATCATGGTTCATTAGTTAAATCAAATTTGTCCTAATTAAGATTCACAAATGATTCGAATAGTGAATTAGCCTTGATGATTTGCTGGATAGCATTTCATCAGCCATTCTCGATTCCCAATAAAAATTATAGATTTCAACAAATATTCTCATTTTATAAATCACATTTTTAGTTAATAAAAATTTTCCAATTTTCCAAACTTCGAAAAACTTTAATTTCAAAATTTCATGAAGTTTCCAGCATAAATCGAGGATAAATAAATAAGAAATCCATAAAATTATTCGCAAATTTCTTTCAAAAACCATATTAGAAATGTAAATTAATTTTCTAAAATCAAAACAAGTAAAAATAACATTTAACGTTAAAGTTTTACGTGAAAATAAATAAATAAATAAAAGTTAAGGTGAAAATGATTACGCAGGAATCAAAATTTACAAGACGTGCTTACCAATGATCGCAGTTTTTCTGGTATTCCTTTCCATACCCGTTTCCTGAGTTTATCTGCTTTTTCACCAGAAGTCCAACGAGTAATCATCCGTAACCACTTCTGTTCTCGGGTTGTTTCTTTCGCAATTCGCCGTTTTTCGCTTTCGTCTGTTGACGATGATATGTTTCCATCTTTACTATAAAATATTTGAAATTGAAAAGAGCAATATTAGAATTTCAGCTGAAATTTAACGAAATATTTTATATTTTATGATTGATAATTCTATTTCTAATCAAAAATGCCATTAATCTCATAAAAAATCAGTTATCAGTTATAATCAGTTGTAATCAGTTATGAAAATATATAATATTCAGAAAAAAAAATCCATGCACAAAATATTCAAAACACACAAAACATTTAAATAAATCCTCGGGAAAAAATAGAATTTCAAATGAATTCCAAACTTTAATCAAATTTTAGAGGAAATACGAATTTAAAAAGTTGAAATTTTTATTTAACTGACATTTAAACGAATTTTTTACAAAATCTGAGACTAACTGAAGAAATCCATAACGGTCAGTAATTTTATAGAGTTCTAAATCTGGATTTTCCCACTCTTCAACATCTTGCTCCGGACCCTATAATGGAAAAAATTCAATCCACTGAAGTTGTTATTTAAGAAATTGGAGAATGTTTTTCTTGTCAACATTTATGTTTAACCAGTTCAAAATTTTTTATATTAACAACAAACGCCTTTAAATTCTTTCTTGCTGAGCCTTTATCAGTTTAACTGAATAAACAAGCTGTTTAATTGAATTATCTAAAATTAGAAATCAGTTCGCAAAAATATTATCGCGAATGCGAATTACATCCGAACAAAACAGTTAATTAATCAACATTGATTATAAAAGAATATTTCCTTCTCTTTGTTGTTTTAATCATTTGTTACTATGGTAAACTCTTTTAACTTGACAGAAGCAAAGCTAAATCCACTACGATTATCTGAATTTCACTTTTAATGAAAGGTTTCCCCGAGTAAAAAGATCGTTTTCAAACTCACTATCCTCTCTCAGCTGAAGAAACTATAAAACATAGTAGAATTATCGTGCCAGCATAAAAGAATATTTGATACCCTTTCATATTTTTCAACAATTAGTGATCGCTCCTGAAATTCAATAAATTCTGGATCATCCGATTCCTCGCCACTTGATGTTAATGTATCGCCATGTTCCCCATTGCTATGATTATCTAAAAAAAAATCGTAATAAAAATTTTATAGCAAAATTAATCAGAAAAAATATAAAAAATTTGCAACATTAGGTGTTTATTTAATAGGAAAATGTAAACCATTCCATAAGTCAGTACCTCTTAGTCAGTATAAACCATTTTTATTCGATAATATAATAAATAATAATATTATAATAATATAATATATAATATATTATATTTGATAACATAATGAAATCACTAAATATATACATTGGTAAATGCTAATTATATTTAATATAATATTTATACAAAAAAATTAGGACAGTTAGGACAAACAAAAATATAAAATTACCCTCTTCACGTTTTCGCTCTACTTCGTCATTAACGAAAAAACCTGGCATAACTAAACGATTCGATAAATCATTAACAACATTACGAACAGCTTTCATTTGTACTCGATTACTTATTTCACGTAGACTACCTACGTGACGTTTTAGTGGTGCATCAATGGCGTCTTTTAGACGTTTTACGCGTACACTAGCATTACGAAAAAGTTTTTGATGCTCACTATCAGAATTTTCACTGGCATTAAGTACGAAATGTTGTGACAGCATCAAATTCCGCTGAAAACGATGTCTTTTCTCAATTTCTTCAGCAGTCTGAAGACGTGAAACAAATGTTCTATTCCTATACAATGGTTTTTTTCGTTCATCGTGACTAGTTGTTAATTTTTTTTGTGGTGAATTCATTGATAATGCTGATGATGATAATGATAATGATGATGATGATGATGACGATGACAACGTGCCAGCATTTTCAGATAAACTGATATGATCATAAGTGTCTTTGCACTCTTTTGAATTCTTTTGATCATTCATGCTTCTTTCATTATAATTCATTGTTTATAAATATATTCAATAATTAGATAAAATATATGGATGGATATGTGATTGCTTGAGGTCAGTTTTATGAAGAGAAAAATCGTCGAACAAATCGAATATTTCTTTCTATAAATATATTTTAAAGGAATAAAAAAACTTCGAATGAATCGCAATTAAATAATAATATTAATATCAGTTGTAACGAAATGTAAAAATATAAAATTTAAAATTTAAACGAAGCTTAGTTACTTAATTTCCAACAAAAAGAAAAGAAATAGAAAAAGAAATTACTAATAATTGAAAGATGGTAAATACTGATAATTAAGAAATCCCTAAATTCTTGCATCTATGCAAATTTCTGACACGAAAATCCTCTAAGCAAAATTATTTTTTTTCTATTTTTTAAAATACCATATAAATGAAAAATTTTCTTTTTCGAATTATCCATTCCAATATGTCATAAAATTAGTCTGCAGCAAATCACCATGAAGAAATCTATTTTCATATTTTTCACATTCAGTATGTTTCGAGAATTTTCAAATATACTGCACATAATATATAATAGCAATCCAATGTATACATTTGCCTAATCGAAGCCTTTAGCTCATTTGTAGTACTCATAGCGTAATTAATATTACGAATACTCACTGAACTAGAAGAAAAATAACTTGAGGTGCTTAGCAGTTAATCTACTCGAATGTAATCGAATGGTTGACTCTTCGTCGTGTTTAACTAAATTGTATGCTATGCAATAAATAGACAACTATTAGAAGAATCACAACCTGAAAGATCTAATATGTATAATATATAAGGTGATCGATTCTTATTTAACTGATATTTTTCTCCAATGGACTCAGGATTTGCATATTATTTTTAATATAAAATGTATAAAATATCTAAAAAATAAAAAATAGAAAAAAAGTGAGTGAAAGATTAGAAAACCTCCAAACAATAAATCTGAGGAGAGAAAAAAATTCTTTTATCATAGATTTTTTTTCATAGATTAAAAACAAATTTGACAAATTTTAGCAATTATTCATGTTCATTTAAATAATATGCCCTTATTCAATTATAAAAGCAGCAAATAATTTGATTGTTGCCGTTCGAAAAATAATTAACAGTAGGCCTAAATAAGAAATTATTATGTCCCAAACTGAACAAATTAAATTTTGCCTTTTTTTCTTTTTTAGAAAATATGAAAATTACCAATCTTGCGCCATATTCATATATTTCTTTTTCTAAAACAAAAATATAAAATTTATGGTTTACCTCGATGTACTGCTTACTAAGTGGTCAGTGCTCATTGCTTCTGGTTAGATCTAAGTTAGCTGGCTAATACATGGCTAATCAGAAATTTTTAACAGGAAATCACTAGACGATAGAGCTAGCGGTGAAAAACACCCGGATTTTTAATGAGAGATTTCTGGTGAAAGGGGCAGTATCCGAATCCCTATCTTTGTCAACCTGGCTACTTCGACCTAAAAAACCATTTATATATAATTTATAGTTTATCTCGCTCTACTGATCCTTTCACCAGAGATCTACTTGGAAACGAATGCAAGTAGATAACCATTCTTTCATTTCATTATGATGATTTACCCCTGCGGAAGCGAATTTGCCTTGAACACTAATTCCTTTAGCCGAAGTAGTATCGAATCCCCGAATCGAATTTCGTTAATTTCTTTAAACGATAATAATTAAAAATTACTAATTTAAATTTTAATTCAATGGATAAAAATGGATGTCTATAAATGCTATAAAATCGCCGATTACTAGTAAAATTTTTTAAAATTTACCTTCAACTTGCTAAGTACAACGCACCCAATTCAAAATGAATCTAAATTTGCATAGAATCTGCAGAATTCATTCAAAAAAGGGATAATAAAATTATCATTGAAGATAAAAAATATTCTAATTACAAGTGAGATAAATGTTTGTATTTGAATAATCGATCAAAAGACGATGGAACCGATTTGATTTAAAAGAATTCATCTAATTTAGATCAATTAAAGGATAAAATCCAACATACAAAAATCCATTCAAATCGCTCGCTAATCGGTGGGTGATTTATGCAAAATTTAAAAGAATAAAATTTGAAAAAACCGTCTTCTTCAGTCTTTCTTTACTAAAATTTGATCCAAAACTGATCGAAAGAATAATGGATTAAATCCAAAAGACAATATATAAATATATATGCCAAATTCTATGAAATAAAAATTTTTAAATCAATTTTTTTATAAATATTTCTCATTTATCGATGATTTGGCTTTGAATAAAATTGTTGAAAAACTTTATTTTTTTTTTAAATGAATGAACTCGAGGATCAAATATTTCGAAATTCTTTTTCCTTCTAATCTCATAATAAATAATGCAAAAGAACATTATTAATCTAATAAAACTAAATGACAACATCTGTGGATTAAAAGTGAAATTCGCATGGCTGCTTTAGCAATTCTTATTCCTATCACTGAGTGGCTCTCTGGTTGATAAGGTCTCATCGTTGTCTAGTTGAGCCAACCAAACAACCGAACCGCAAATGCTATCAGAAGAATCGACCAATGCAAAAAACAAGCCAAAATTTAGAGCAACTGGGATTATCCCACAAAAAACAATTCCAAAATAAAAATATGATGAATTTTTATTAAATTGTTCATTAAAACTAGGAGTAACTTCCTCTGTAAAATTAAAGACTTTAATCCATAAATATATAAACGATCGACAAATAAAAAAGATATGAAAGATAAAACATTCGTAAATATGTAAGGAAATAAATAAGCAAGTTAGCTGAAAATCGAGAGAATTTGCGTTTACTTAATTAAAAATTCATTTAAAATTCAATAATTATTGAAGAATAAAAAGTGTAAAAAATAATCAACGATCAACGAGCTTAAAAATAGTTTGAAAAATAAAATCCATCATTAATATATTATTCATCAGACTCGGCAATATTCAGCAATGTTGCGGAGAACTTAACTAATTAGATTCCACGTCCCGACAAGATACCGTCATTCGAAGCAAAGAGAGCTTGTTTAACATTGCAGAATGTTAATATGCTCGATAATTTATTATTATTATTACTATTATAGCAATTATCATTACTCTTAATATTATCGTTTATTCCGTGATTTCTTCTTCCATATAAATGAAATATTCCTATAAAATATCTACACAAAACTCTTAATACTTATAAAAATCATTTGAGATTTATTTTCTTCCGATGTCCCAAGTATACTTAAATACGAAAGTGGCTAAGTGGAAAGAAATATTTTGGTTCTATGCCTACCAATTCATAAATCAAAATCTCGAAACATTTCAGGAGGAATCGTTTACTTTCAAGCCTATTATGACGTTAAACAAAAATTGATGTATTCAATTCAAATCAAACATACGACCTATTTTAAATAACTTGGGTCCACTCTAATACCAAATGGCCAGGCAAAAGACGATATTATAGCCTGGATCACGGCAGCTAGAAATGCTACTTCCAGTTGACGAAACTTTTACAGAGCTGTCGTGAAATTACTATAAAAACGAAAGTCCGCATTTGTATAGCCGTGATTCGTTCGATCTTGCTATATGGTTCTGAGACATGGCCAATGAGAGTGGAGGATATTAAGGAGTTATCTACTCTTAACCACTCTAGTCAAAGTATATTTCACGGGTCCGTCGAGTGGATAAAATATCACATGATCACATTCACCTTCGTTCAAACACCACTTAATAATATTATCACAGAGCGTCGCCTTCTTTGGTTGATAAGGGCACGTTCTCCATCGTCAACCACAAGAGTTGTCGCATATTTCATAATTTCGTCACTTGCTAAACCGTGTGATGGATGGCTTCAAAAGCGAGATGGGCCAATCAAGACCTGGACTGATAGGTTTAGGAAAGATTTTGAACGTATAGATGGACCAGCAATATATGGACTTAGACGATGGAAAAAGGAATGGCTTCTATTTGCAGACGATGGCATCAGACCGTGCTGCTTGGAAGCGTCTTACCCTTGTAACCGTCGAAGCTAGCCTAACCAGTGATGGTAAAAGCTATCAGAAGAAGAAGAATTTAAATCACATAAATTCCACTACCTTATAAACATGGAAAATAAAAATATTCGCAAAAAAGAAAGAATTTTCTTAGCAATATTTTCCTGTTAAAATTTGTGCTGTGGAGGAAAATGGAAGTTCGCCCTTTCTAATATTTCTCAATATGCGATTTGTATAAATTTCTTAAAATTTTTTTGAACATAAAAAATTTTGCATTTTTTTCCTTTTCTTCTTTTAAAAATTTTTTTCGAGTCCAGAAAAAACAAAACGAAGAAAACTCAAATCCATCACAAAACTTTTCTATTTTCTTTATTCTTTTTATTATTTATAATACCTTTTTTTTTCAATATCAATCAATTTTCCTTCGTTTATTCATTTATATATTGATTATTTAACTTTTATTCCTTTACTCATAAATCTTTAAAACTTAAATCCAACGGAAAAGGCTTCAAAACTAAAGATGTATATTGCCCTAAAAATATTTCAGACCTGAATTATCGGAAATTTTTCCTTACGAAATTTAAAAGCCTTAATTTTCCTATCACTATTTCTCTTTACAAGTTCAACACCAAATTTTTTTGTCTAGACTACATTTTAGATGGAACAAATTGGAGAAATCGAATTTTCTCCAGCTTTCTCCTAATAATGACCGAAATTTCTTCTATTCGAAATTAAACCACCTAAATTAAACAAACTAATCAAATTAAATCGATGATTTTGAACTTTTTGTTTTTGGTACCTCAAAAGGGTTTCAAATAATTATGAAAAATTCTATTGATTAAATTTCTTCAGTTTGGCTCACTCCGCTGATTATTTAGAATTGATTTTGCTAAAAAGTTAGGGACGCCATAAATACACCATAAAATTAGGTCCCCAGTAACTAACCAATCATTAATTTAACAGGTCAAATGAATTGAGAAAATGAAAAATTATAATTTTTTTGCGATTTAGACTTAATAATTCGAATCGAATCAA